AGCAGGGAGCCTGATGCGGGACTCGATCCCAGGACCCCGGGATCATGACCTGAGCAGAAGGCAGTCGCTTAACCCACTGAACCACCCAGGCATCCCAGGATGGTGTTTCTGTGAGAACAAGACCTTGTCATGTTTCCGTAGTTTGATGCTGGGAAGCCAAATACAGGCCCAGAGATTGGACAAAACATGGGCTGTTGGGGCCACGTCCTCAGGTGATTTTGCAGAGTTAGTAGGGAAAGTAGGAGCCAGAGAGATAGCGTTTCCAGGCAAGAGCTATAAGATTTTCATGAAGCCAAAGGCAAACTGGGTCAGATTTGTGTAAAAGCAAGAAGTCAGACATTACAAATAAAATTTAACACACTTTATTGCTTTTTTATGTGGAATTTGGGAAGGAGAGTTGTAAAAAAATTACTCCCAAGATTTTGCTCATGGGAGAGTTGTAACCCGGGGGTTAGAGGAGAATGGGGGTGCAGTGTATACTGTTTGGTACATTTGGAGATTAGGGGGGGTGGACACATGGGCAGAGATGCCCATGGGGTTTGGCATGGGGCTGTGGGGGCAGGCTGGGCATTTCAGTTTTGGTTTGATCGGCCAGGAGCGATGCCCCGCAGTTCACCACCTGGAGGGGGCGTGGGAGGGGCGGGGGGTGTGGGTCCGAGAGGGAGACCGTGGGGCTCCTCCGCTTGCTCTGCTTCTTGTGTCTCTGACAGGACAGAGTCGGTGAACAAGCGACACCTCTTCTTGATGAGGTCCTTTCGAGACTAAGTAGCAAACCCTCTCAAACGGGCTCCAAGATGGACCAATCTTCACTGAGTGTACTTGATAAATAGAATCTTTTTCCAATTTTACTTTTCATGCATTATAAGGTGCACTGGACACAGGCTGAGAGGAAGTGTAATTAATTCTTTGTTCCCTCTTTTCTTCCAACACCTCTTTATTAAGTGCCTCTCCTGCGAAGGTCAGAGTCTGGCTGGGTGCTTGGCACATACCGCCAGGTAAGCCTGGGCTTGTGCAGAATTTGTTGTCTCGCCGGGAAGCGGACGTGAATGCCCAGGGGCTTGCTCTGGCTTCAGGACAAAGGGCAGTCCAAGCGGCCTCCAGGGGTCAGACCAGCTCCCCGGAAGAAGTGGTGTTTCAGCCGAGCCCCTCCTGCCTCCAGAAGCTGGCCTCTCTTTGTCCTAATCTGCCACCAGTTTGTTTTATTGAAGTGACTTGCTCTTTCCAGCTTGGGTCCTGGCAGGGGAACCTCCTGCAGCCTCGGGTCTGTGTTCAGACTCTCGTGAGTTCACCTCTGCCGAGAGACAGGGGCAGGACAGGGGTGCTGCGGAGCCACGATGGTGTAGGGACTTGCCCTTACTCCTCTGAAGCTATAGAACCACCTGTAGCTGTGTTTCTAGAAGCTCAGCAGGCCTTTACTGGGCAGTGGGTTTCATAGAGCTCTGGCAGGAATAAGTCTGCCGTGCACCCCCAGCCCAGGTCCGGGGTTTCCATCTGCAAGACAACGTGGGCCTGCCCATCAGCTCAGGTGGGGCGCCTGCTCTGAACCTCATTTCCCCCATGTCCTGTGTTCTTTGCTGCTGTTCTCGATCATACTCACTGTGACCTTCAGAAGTGGCAAGAGCTTTGTTCCCGAAGAAATGAAGGTTTTCTTAAACCCTCCACCTGTAAGAACCCAAGGGCAGGCTGTTTCCTAACACAAGCCGTCATCCCCGTCCTGTATACGTTAAGCCTTTTTTAAACATCTTTTTGAATTATTACATTTTTTTCCTTTTTAGATAGGAAAAGTCACTCTTCTGTGGCTACTTGAAATTCATTTGGTTGTTTGCTGAGATTGCTGACACACGTAAGCTGACTCCCACAGACAGGGGCCCCTCGGCCCGCGCTGCGTGGTTGTGGAGACCATGGCTGCCCACAGGACATTCTCCTCCCTCTGCACGCCTCCCCTTGCAGCCCCGGGGCAGAGCCAGACCAAGGTGACCACTCTGTTTAGGCCGCAGGAGGGCTGTAAGTGCCGCGGCTGCATCTGGAGGAAGGACCTTCTTCGCGGCCCGCCGCCTCGCCTCCTCACTGCATCCTGTCGGATCTGGGCTCTAGAACAAGCCTGTGACTTAGTTTCCACACGACTTTCCCCTCCCTCCCTCCTCCCCCTCCCCCATCATCTTCCTCCCTCCCTCCTCCCCCTCCCCCATCATCTTCCTCCCTCCCTCCTCCCCCTCCCCCATCATCTTCCTCCCTCCCTCCTCCCCCTCCCCCATCATCTTTCTTCCTTCCTCCTCCCTCCCTCCTCCCCCTCCCCCTCCACTTCCTTCTTCCCTCCTCCCCTGCCCCCTCCCTCCTTCCCTCCGCCCTCCCCTCTGCTGTGGGTATCAGTTTTTACAGCTTGCCCTGTTCCCCATATTTCTGTTTCACACAGCCCGCTCTCGCAGGGCCCACGCGTTTGTTCTGTAGCCTTGGCCACCCTAACCGACCACGCTAGAACAGTGGGCAGACGGAAGGGGAAGGAGAGGTCTGAGTAAGGACTCAAGGGACACTGCAATTTAACACAAAATAAGCACATGAGCTTCAGTGGAGGGATTTTGATTGTTCAGATGCCTTTATAGCTTTTTCTCATTTGGGGGCTGTTGGCTGTGTTCCCGGCCCTCATGTGCTAGCAGTTTGCTGAATGTACTTGGAAATGGTCTCATTTTTGTACACGGCGTCTCCGTGCTTACCTGGGTTCTCCACTCTCCCTCGGAATCATGAGCAAGCATCCATCGTGTGCTGTGTGCCTCCGACGCTGCTGCTCCTTGCGGGGAGTATGAATGAACTCTAACAAACTGGGTCTGCTGTCCAGAAGCCTTCAGCCTGGCCGGGGAAACCACAGGCAAATAGGTAGTCCGTCTTTGGCATCAAATTGGCTAATTCTTGCCCCGTGATTTGTGAGTCACCTGGGAATCTCTGGATTTCTGGAGTTTCTGTTAAAAAGTCCACATATGTGTGTCATCCCCTTTCAGACTGTGGTCTTGCAAACCCCGGATTGGGCAGTCATCGTCGCTGTGGTCACCCCCATGGCTGTGCAGCTTCCCCTTGTCCTGACCTCCGCGTGCGTGTGTGGTGTGTGCTGGGACGTGTAAGTCATGAGTGAGATCTGCCCAGGAGCTCCTTGCGGCGTCCTAAACGTACGGCTCCTAATACATGGTGCTACGGACTGCACTTTCTTGTGCCCACAAATTCATATGTTGCAACGCTGACGTCCAGTGTGTTCGTGTGAGGAAGTGGGACCTCTGGGAGGCATTGAGGGCCTGAGGGTGGAGCTCTCACCATGGGAGCAGTGCCCTGGAAAGAGAGGCACGTGGGCTCCCTCTCCCCCTCTGCTGTGTTGAGGACACGGGGGAAGGCAGCGTTCTGCAAGCCAGGAGGCCCCTCAGGAGAGCCCCGCCACGCTGGCCCCTGATCTTGGGTGTCCAGCCTCCAGCAGTATGTGGAATAAATGTGTGTTGTTTAGGCAGCCCGGTCTGTGGTGATTTGTTACAGCCGCTGCGCTAAGCCGGGGAAGGTCGAGCACAGGTCAGTGCATTGTTCTGCCCCAGGACAGGCCTGTGAGCTGCCCTTCTCCCGTCCTGGTTTGCATTTCCTCTTGGCCTCACTGTCCGTTGTGTGAACTCTGCATAGTTTACCCGTGGAAACGGCCACCAGGAGAAGTTTGATCATCTTGCTGTAAAGAGCTGTCTTCAAAGTTAGGATTAGCCAGTATCTTAACAAAATAGGAGCAGTAGATTTCAGAACCGGGTTTCTTGCTCTCTCTTCCAGCTACTGGGTTTTAGATTTATGTACTGGATATTGTGCATTTTTCAGAAAAGATGCACTAAGCTCCATGTGATAGAGGAGCGGTACACCTGTGGTCATAGTGCCGTGAACCTTGTGTGTGTTTGTTTAAGCTACGAAGGAGAAAGAAGCTATGGTTTTGGAGGGTATTAATGTTGTGATTACAAGTACTACCAGCTCCAGGGCAGTCTTGGGAAGGTGGTGTGAGGGAGGGGCGCCGTCAGTCAGTGCCAGGTGCTGTCAGGAGGACCAGCAGCAGGGTCTTTGCTGATGTCTGCACTCCCTCCCAGTTACAGGACGTGAGAAAGACTCTCCTTACAGCACATTGGGAATTCATCAGCAAAGACAGAAACAAACTGAAACCTTCTGCTCTCCGTAGCCTTCCCACAGAGCTGATGAGATTTGGGGTCTGCCACTAGTTATCAGATAGGCATTGAATCAGATGCGGTGGCTTTGGCTGCAGGTCACAGGAAACTGGGCTTCAGATCGGCTGACCCGTGACAAAGTGACCTGATGTCACAGGCAGGGCAGACATGACGCCCTCCCATTGCCGTCAGTCCTTGGGCTACGAGGGATGTGGGCATTCTGCCCCAAATGGCAGTATCCATGCTGGGCCTTCTTGAGACCCGACCCCCAGCAGGCCACGCGTCCTGTTCGCTTGGCGCAGTTGGTCAGCTCCCCGCTCCTCAGTCCCCAGGAAAACGGGTCGGCTCGGGTGGCCACCAGAGAGCACCGCTGGCTGGGGTCTGAAACAGCAGACCTTATTTGTCCCGGTTCTGGGGGCTGGAGGTCGGGGCTCAGCATGGTGGTGTTCTGGCGAGAGCCCTCTTCCTGGCTTACAGATGGCTGCCTTCCCACGGTGTGCTCACATGGCGGGAGAGAAAGTGACCGTCAGAGAGGCAGTGAGGGACAGGGAGGGAGCATGAGTGGGCCGGGCCCATCGCAGGCCGCCCTCCCCACCCCGAGCGCCCCGACGGCTGGCCTGCTAACCTCCCGGCCGCCTGCCCTCAGCTGAGCCGGAGGACACGGACGTTGGGCGGGAGAGGACACAGTGCCACATGTGTACACGCTGCCGGCGGTCGCCGTGTGCTAGGGCGGGCCGCGCTGCCCGTGAGGGATGCGCGCAACAGCCTCAGCCGCAGAGACATCAGGGACTTCCGCATCCCTACTCACGGGGGTCCTTCTGTTCCTTGCAGTGTCACGTGGGAGCCCACGGGGGACGGGAAGAAGGTCATCTCGCTGGCGGACAACCACATCCTACTGTGGGACCTGCAGGAGAGCTCCGGCCAGGCCGTGGTGAGTGACACGCTTACAGTTTTCATTTTTTGTGTTTTCTAATTGGACCTTTTGGCTGAATTCAGAATATACTTCTTGGTTTGTATACGCTTAGAATTTTGACATTAATTATGAAATACTTAACGAACAGGCAGAATCATCAGTCGGAGAATTGCATGACTGGTTCTTCAGGTGAAAGCTTCCTGGAGTTCAGGCCTATGGGCCGTGCAGACAGCACACAGAACCAAAGGTTGACAAAACCCCACCCTTTGGCCATAATTTGTCCAAAAGAGGCTGTGGGATATCCCGATGTATATTCTCTTGTTTCAAGTATATTGTCTTTCCAATAAACAGATTTTTCAAAGTCTGGTTAAAATCGCCTTTTAGGTACAAGCAGTCATAAAATAATTTCATGGTACTGATGAGCTTCTTTTGAATTTCTGTGTGAGTTGTAAAAATGACAGTGGTCTGTGACCCCTCTTCCCCATGGCCTATGACCCCTGGTGGCCTGTGATCCCCCCATGACCTGTGAACCCCTGTGGCCTGTAACCCCCACCGTGACCCATGACCCCCCCCCCCCACGGTGGCCTGTCGCTGACCTTCCCCTCACTCGAATGTGTGCACCTTTCTGCAGTCACAGTCCTCGGACCCTGTGCGTGTGATCGTGGGCCCGCTGGGCGGCACAGAGCACCTCTCTGTCTGAGCCGCAGCCACCCACATGTCACCCTCGGGGTTCTGTTTCTGAGGACAGCAGTGGCTGGGTCCTCACAGCTCCCACGGGGCTGCGCATCTTCACACTGTTTAGTGTTTAGCACTGACTTTCTTGGGAACCGGTTTTGCTTTCAAATAGTCATTGCCTCAAATACTTTGTCCTTCCAGAGTAAATATTTCACTGATTAGTATATTTCATGTTTGAGTCCTTAAAATTTCCACTTTTAAATGTGACTTTTATTTTTTTATTTTATTTTCATTTTTTAAAAGATTTTATTTATTTATTTGAGAGAGAGGGAACACAAGCAGGGGGAGTGGGAGAGGGAGAAGCAGGCTCCCCGCTGAGCAGGGAGCCCAATGTGGGACTTGATCCCAGGACCCTGGGATCATGACCTGAGCCGAAGGCAGACGCTTAACGACTGAGCCACCCAGGCGCCCCTAAGATGTGACTTTTATACTGTGTTCATGATTTCATCACATTTGTTTACATCAAAGTAACAACCTTAGAGAGAAAAATCTAGAGACTTGACAGATCTTACGGTGTCACTGGTACCGAGGGCGCCACGTGGCCATGCGTAGCAGGAGGACGGGAGCAGCATCTGTGGGACAGATTTCTGTAGTGGTGGCTCTTCTTATGTTTCTTTGTTCCTATGACGTGTCTTTAGCCCTTTTCCCTCATGGTACATTATGGTATTAATAAATCCTTTCTTTTTTTTAAAGATTTTATTTATTTATTTGAGAGAGAGAATGAGAGAGAGAGAGAGCGAGAGCACATGAGAGCGGGGAGGGTCCGAGGGAGAAGCAGACTCCCTGCCAAGCAGGGAGCCCGATGTGGGACTCGATCCCTGGACTCCAGGATCATGACCTGAGCCGAAGGCAGTCGCTTAACCAACTGAGCCACCCAGGCGCCCCTAATAAATCCTTTCTTGGGTAGGCAGTAGAGATGGCGTAAATAGTGATTGATCATCATCAGTACGTGGCGTCAAAGTCAGACTTTTTAGAATATGAAGTGCCGTGTTGAAGTTTTAAAATTCTGTGTGGTCAGAAGGGAGTCTCATAGCCTTCAATGTGAAGTTAAGAGCTGGTCTGTCTTTGTAGTGTCTAAGTAATACTTAAGGGAAAAAAATCACTTTTAATTTTTAAAAGGACATATTTCTATATCATAGAGTAGAATGCAAATTTCACCCAGATTTTAGAGTGGAACAGGACACTTGAGGGTAACCCGGTGCCTGGGGCTGCTCCCCGTGGGCTGCGGGTCTGGGGGAAGATGGTGCGTGCCCTCCCAGGGGCCGGCTGCGGAGTCGGAGTCTGGGTCAGCGGCAGGCCCTCTCTTGTCCCTCCCTCCCACTCGCTTCTCGAGGGTGCTCCCGTGTAGCCAAAGACCAGACATGGGAAGGGCGGAGTACTTTCCTGCTGTCGTGCAGGTCACGGAGATGCTGGGGGAGCTGTGGGCCCCGGAGCCCTGGGCCGTGCCACGCCCTGCCGGCGGGAGAGGCTGGAGAGGAGGCGAGCCCTCTGTGCATGTGCCGCATCCCACAGCCCGTCCTGGAAGCAGACGGGGGCGCCTCTCCAGACCCTCGGCCATCTCAGAATGATTTTATGGTACGGTGATTAATCTGTAACTTATTTTCTGCAGAGACCAATTTAGTTTTCTCTCCTTCGTTTTTATCTGCCGTCAGCACTTCTGTCAATACCACTTTGCGACCCTCTGCCGTGGTATTTAATACCGAAACCTTCCTATCGATTTCCGGCCATCTTCACACCCAGCGCCTCTGGTTTTTTTTTTTTTTTTTTTTTATTGTTGGAGGATATTGCCTTCTGTGGTGAATCTAATCTTATGCTCGCTGCATCATTACCTTTTGCAATTAAATCGGAGGTTCTTTGCCATTTATAATCATTAGCAGAGCCCAGGGGCGGTCTGCAGGGGGAGGTTGCGCGGGGTCCCGGCCCCGATGAAGGCAGAGGGGAAGCCTCCCTGTTTTGGAGTGTGCTCATCCATCTCTGGGACCTGGCAGCTCTCAGGAGCTGTGGAAATAAATAGCTTTCCAGGTGCAGAGCAAAAGGAAGCCGGTGCCTTGAGAGTTGGCTCTCCTCTTCTTCTGGCCACGCGTCAGCCTGGGGGCTTCCCGAGGATGAACCCGGGGCGTCCCCTGCCTGGCAGTACGGGGCCTGAAGCAGTGACATTCAGGAACGCCTCTCGGAACGAAGAGAATGGGCTTCAAGGACATAGTGTTCTTGCAGAAATGTTCTAATGTGAGGCTTAAAACCTACAGCAGGGACCAACTGCACTTCAGTGGGGGGAGCTAGTGGTGGCAGGAAAATCATTCGGAGCAGCTTGGGCCACGTCTGCTGTGCCTGGAAATACAAAACATGTGTTTGTTCATGCGGGCAGAGAGTGCTGGGCAGAAGCGGGGCTGCCTGCAGGACAAGCGGGCTGGGCCCCCATGTGCCCCTTCCTCCTGGGAGCCTGTCTGTCGCCTGCCACACCATGACCGCGCCTCACGCCCGGTCCACTTTTCTCCAGCTGTGGCCCCAAGGGGAACAGAAGCCCAGTCTGGTGCAGGTGGGAGTGTCGCAGGGGGCTCACCCAAATCTGCCCTTTGGTGACGTGGCCCAAGCAGGGACCTCGTGTCCAGCCCCCGAGGCAGCGGGGTGGGTCTCCACAGACAGGCGTGGGTGGACGTGGCTGCTCTGTGCCACGCGGGGGGCCTTCCTGCACTGTGGCCCCCTGCTCTCTGTCCCATCTTCGCAGCGGGGCCTCTTGCAGAGGAAAGGTTTTCATCTTTTTTTTTTTTTTTTAATAGACTTCATTTTTTAGAGTGGTTTTACCTGGTTCACAACAAAGTTGAAAGAAGGGAACAGAGGCTTCCCCCAGACTCACACGCACACAGCCTCCCCACGGTCAGCATTCCCGCCAGAGGGGACGCTTGCTGCCCTCGATGGGCCTGCCAGATGGGGGTTGTCCTCCCTTACCTCGTCTGACGTCCAGGGTCTCTGCTGCCCTGGCGGCTCTTTCCCTGTGTGAGGACAGAGGAAGTCGAACACCCGGATGCCTGGTGCATGTGGAGCACGTCCCATGCGCATGTGGTCACTCGGCAAGTGCGGACAGCCAGCGTTGAGGACATGGCAGGTGGGCCCGCGAGGTCCCCAGACACCCACAGTGTGCCTTCGCAGTTGTAACAGGGCTCATATGGTGTGTTGACAAATCTTTGTCCCCCACTGATTTTACAGCAGCCCACGTAAGAAAGACACTGATTTTAAAGCAGTCCACATGAAGACACAGACCTCGGGGTCACAGAATTCAACTCCCTCACTTGACAGTTGAGAAAAAGTAAGGCCCAGGGAGCCAGGGGCTGTCCTAGAGGTGGCATGGTTTGAGGGACAGATTTAGGACTGCACTTCTGACCCTGCCCCTCTGCCCCATGGAGGGCTTGTTGCAGCCCCAGCACACTTGCGCTGTGCCTTGCTGGCCCGAGCCTCGGTGCTTGCCTGTCTTCAGTGGCCACGGTCACATCTGGTCTGTGAGGGTGGATGTGAGCGTTGTAACAGTCAACATTTATTTGGAGCAAACTCCAAGCGTCGTGAAACTGGTCCATGGAAAACAGGCTAAAACTCTGAAAGCTGGTTTTCTGGTGAGCCTCATAAAAAGGCATTGCAGAATATTTGAGTGCTGTCTGCATCGCGGACGTCAACCACGCATTTCAGACAGCAGGTGCTGGAGTTGGTGTGTTAGGATGGTCGTCAAAAAAGCCGCGATCTTCAAGAAAACATGGAGTGAGGAGTTTCCTAAGTTACATATCTTAATGTTGCATAATAGCTATACACATAGCTTTTGATTTTATAAATATCGGAGACAACTAGGATTCTTTAGTCTCCCATCAGCTCTTGGAAAAAGGCATCAAATACAAATCAGGCTGGGCGTTGGTGTCTGGCAAGCGCTTCTTCCCTAGCTCTCAAAAGACTTTCTAGTAAGAGTGGATGATAGAATGAATAATTCGTCTGATAAACCAAGTGTGTTGAAGGGAACACAGGTGCTGCTGTGGGGAGCAGATGCGTGCTGTCATGTAAGTGGGCCCAGACGCTGCGGGGACACAGCCTCGGCCTTCCTGGGCTTCGCCTCCCAGAGTGAGGGTCCACAGTGTAGAGGTGAGTCCGTTCCAGTTTGCAGGCATTGCTGTGATGGTCTGGGACAGGTGTAGGCCGGCAGCTGAGGTGAGGGGGCAACGGTGGGCGTGAGGCATGGGAGGGAGACGCTGAAGGCCGTGGCTCCATGGTGGGAGCCCAGGCAAGCTTCCGAGCTGCAACATCAG